AACCTGCTCTCATCTGTAAAAACCACAGGGCACCAGTGGAAGACCTGCCAATTCTGGTGTTCAATGCCAAATGCCAGTTGAGCTCTATGGTGCCGGGCAGTGAGCACAGGGCCCATGAGAGGACGTCGGACCCTCAGGCTACCCTCATGAAGTCTGTTTCTGATTGGTCAGAGATAATCACACTAGTGGCCTGCTGGAGGTAATTTTGTAGGGCTCTGGCAGGGCTCATCCTGTTCCTCCTTGCACAAAGGAGGAGGTACTGGTCCTGCTGATGGGTTAAGGACCTCCTAAGGCCTCTCCAGCTCTCCTAGAGTAACTGCCTGTCTCCTGGAATCTCCTCCATGCTCTTGAGACTGTGCTGGGGAACACAGAAAACCTTCTGACAATGGCACATATTGATGTGCCATCCTGGAGGAATTGGACTGCCTGTGCAACCTCTATAGGGTCCAGTATCGCCTCATGCTACCAGTAGTGACACTGATCCTAAAACCATTCCTGTTTTGGGGCTTGTCTCATTGTTGCCCATCTAGTGCACCTATTGTTAATTTCATTAAAGCAGCTGAAACTGATTAACAACCCCCTCTGCTACTCAACTCACCAGATCAATATCCTAGGAGTTTAATTGACTTGATGCTATACTCTGATTAACCACTTGCCGCCCTGCCACTGCATATATACGTGTGCAGGGCGGCACTGGGGCGCAAAAGCACGTTTTAAAACGAGCTCCGTACTCCCGACGTTTTCGCCGGCAGGGGGCGCGCGCGCTCCCGCCGACCCGCGGGTGACACCATTTGATCCCGGAGGGATCAATCATTCGATTTCAGCCAGTGATGTCTGGCTGAAATCAGATGATCGGTCCCTGTCCTATGTTGACATTTACACAGGACAGGATATGATGTCATTCTTCTCTGCCTGGACACATGCCATTCCAGACAGAGAAGAAGACATGCAAACAGTGAGTAAAACAGCACATACCCACAGTTAGAACACACCTAGGACACATTTAACCCCCTGATCGCCCCCCCCAGTTAACCCCTTCACTGCCCTGTCACCAGTGTCACTGATCAGTGAACCGATTTTTACTGATCACTGTATCAGTGTCGCTGGCGACTTCCAATAGTGTTAGCGCCCCTCCCAGATAGCGCCAGTTTGCTCGCCAGTACACCAGTAATCCCGTTTAACCCCTTAATCCCCCCCCCCAGTTAACCCCTTCACTGCCCTGTCACCAGTGTCACTAATCAGTGAACCGATTTTTACTGATCGCTGTATCAGTGGTGCTGGCGACTTCCGATAGTGTTAGCGCCCCTCCCAGATAGCGCCAGATTGCCCGCTAATTACACCAGTAATCCCGTTTAACCCCCCCCCCAATCCCCCCCCCCCCCCAGTTAACCCCTTCACTGCCCTGTCACCAGTGTCATTGATCAGTGAACAGATTTTTACTGATCACTGTATCAGTGTCGCTGGCGACTTCCAATAGTGTTAGCGCCCCTCCCAGATAGCGCCAGTTTGCCCGCCAGTACACCAGTGATCCCATTTAACCCCTTGATCGACCCCCCCCCCCAGTTAACCCCTTCACTGCCCTGTCACCAGTGTCATTGATTACAGTGAACAGATTTTTACTGATCACTGTATTAGTGTCACTGGTGACTTCCAATAGTGTTAGCGCCCCTCCCAGATAGCGCCAGTTTGCCCGCTAATGCACGGGATTTTTTTTACCAAAAACATGTAGCAGAATACATTTTGGCTTAAATTTATGACTAACTTTGAGTTTACGATATATTTTTTATAGCTGAAAGTAGAAAATATTGTTTTTTTTCAAAATTTTTGTGTTTTGTTTGTTTATAGCGCAAAAAATAAAAAGCGCACAGGTGATAAAATACCACTAAAAGAAAGCTCTATTTGTGTGAAAAAAAGGACGTAAATTTAGTTTGGGTACAGCATTGCATGACCGCGCAATTATCATTTGAATTAGTGCAGCGCTGAATAGCAAAAAAAGGCATAAATTACAGTATCTATACCATAGTTTGTAGACGCTATAACTTTCACACAAAGCAATCAATATACACTTATTGGGATTTTTTTTTACCAAAAACATGTAGCAGAATACATTTTGGCTTACAATTTATGACTAACTTTGAGTTTACGATATATTTTTTATAACTGAAAGTAAAAAATATAGTTTTTTTCAAAATTTTCGTGTTTTTTTTGTTTATAGGGCAAAAAAATAAAAAGCGCACAGGTGATAAAATACCACCAAAAGAAAGCTCTATTTGTGTGAAAAAAAGGACGTAAATTTAGTTTGGGTACAGCAATTATTATCATTTGAATTAGTGCAGCGCCAAACAGCAAAAAAAGGCCTGGTCATTAAGGGGGGTAAATCCTCAGGAGCTCAAGTGGTTAAAAAAGTGTTCCTTTAATTTTTTTGAGCAGTGTACAAAATATCGGGCATTACTATAGTTTCCGCTGAAAAACTTATCATTAATATTCACAGGAAACAGATGAACAAATACTAGACCTTGTCCCCAGCTCTGAAGTAGAACCGGACAGTGTTCAAACTATTTCAGGTAAGTGTCTTATGTTACAATAGTATTATTTGTCACTGTTGTTTAAAAACAAAACAAACAAAACACATTTCCTTGAATTTGATATAGCAAGAAAAGCAATTAAATATTCAATTTTAAATTGAAAGCAGCCTGAAAAAGAAGAATACTCACTTTTCCATCACAGCTGGTAATATTGTATGTACCCACTTAAAAGCCTCCTACACATGATGAGAATATCAGGCAAATGATCATCTGTTTTTTTTTTTTGCATGCTAGTCTCCATATCAAAAATTAAGAGGTTATTCAACTTACGAAAATGCTTGTACGACAGAATAGAATTTCAGAAGTGATGTAATGTATTGTATTTTATTTTCTGATAAAAACAATATGGATTAAATGAAAGTCTTACGATCGGGTATCATTCGAGAAAAATGTTCATGTTTGTCCCTTCGGATAATCGCAGATGAACTGTCGTCATTGGTTGTCGAAAGCTGCGTACTAACAATCAGATTATCATACGATCGCTTTGAAAACGGTATTTTTCATATGATTTTCTGATCATTTGTACGAGGCTAAAGAGCTAAGGGCACTGTTATTGTTGATAATTGTGGGTGTAAACAGCATGTCTTTCGCTGGACACAGCAGATTCCTCCACTGACCACATTGATACTACAGGACATAGTAGAATTCCTTGTTACCTGCCAGAGAGATGAGTATTTATCTACTTTTGCAGGGTGCTTATAGTTTTATTTGTTATGCTTGGTACTCATGGGCCGAATATTGGCTGGTTCAACAGAAACTAGCTGACATTCTGCCCATGTGTACAGCAGCCTGTCTGGCTTCTGTAGAACAGGCATGCTGGAAAAACATCTGCCGACCGCATCTGGTCAGCACTCGCAGCAGGGCAGGGGTGCAGTCCCCTTGTCAGAACACAATAGCTCAGCAGGAAGATCGCTGTACTAACATCACATAGTACAGAGACCTCCTCACAAGCTCCTCAGGTTTTTTTCATTTATCCACTGGGCTGAACAAAAAAACTCAGTGTGTACCAGGCTTTAAATAGGAAGTTCCCAAATTTGTTTACCATTCTGCGGGATCTGTGGATGTTCTCAATGTGCTTTTGGATTCCCCTATGTTAACAAGCAAAATAGTTTGAAATGTTAATATTTAATTATTTGTCTTTGCCCTGCTTCACACTGTCCCCACTTGTCTGGGGTGTTTGTAATCTTCCTTTGTTTATGTAATGGTGTGTATCCATTTGGTGTTTTGTGGAACAAGCTCATCTGTTCCAAATCCTTGCTGTAATCCACCATAGGACTTCTGCTTCCTCCTACCTTGTGATTTCTGTCTTCTTAAGCTTTTGCCTTCCATTGCTTTGCCCTAGTCAATTCCTTGTGTCAACATTTAGTTTCTGTGTCCAGCTTGCTTTCATTATGGTCCAGAGTCATGTTGGTGTAATTTTTATTTATTTTCTCATCATTACCACTATGGCTTACCTGCTTTGCTCTGGTCTTGTTCTGTATTGCTCCCCTGTAGTTGCTCCTTTCTTAGTTTCACCTTTTATTATACTATGCCCTTGTCATTCTCTGCTTCATGTCTGTCTTTGTCATTTCTTTAGCAAATGCTGCAGACATTACTAGGGGCTGGTGGCCTTTATATTATGACCCATAGGAATGTACAGAGAATGCACTGTAAAGACAGTAACTAGGCAGTTCAGGAGAGAAAACACTGCACCACGCAAGACAAACCAAAAGTAGAATGGCTTATGAGTTCTTAGTGACCCTTGAGAACTGAAGGGGATGCTATTTCATACAACATAAATACACTTGCAAGCAGGGGCGGGCTGACCATTTGGAAACTCGGGCACTGCCCGAGGGCCCGGGGTTAGTAGGGGGCCCCATTTGATGCCCCTGGTACCTTTTTCATAGGCTTTTTTGAGTTTTGGCAAGGACACAGGGGCCCCATGATCCCCTATTGCCTGGGGGCTCCATGAGTTTTCAGTCCGCCACTGCTTGCAAGTATAATCATGGTTAAGCCTGAGCTTCCTATTTGGAATATCAAGGCTGTGGCATGCCCACAGGATCGATCCAACCTAGTGTACTTGTTGATTCAAAGCCTTAGCAGGTTTTGAATTTTGCTTTTTGAAACCCACCCTAATCACACTTGGTTATGCAAGGCTCTGTTATAGGTTTTCTCCAGTGTGTTCTAGCATGGAGAAAATAAAAAAATATGGTATTTCACGAAAGATGTTTATTATGCATGCTCCGTAGCAAAGTAATATACTGTATGTCCACTTTTGGGGTCCTTTTTTTGTAAAAGTATCTGTTGATTAAAATATTGGTCTTCAAATAAGAATATGTTTCTAAAATGGATGATAATGAAAAGTTTAAATCTCTGATGATAAACTATTGATAAAAATGGCATTCTCTTAAGGTTAACCTAAACTGAACCATCTTTTTAATTACAGATGCCCCCTGCTGTTCCAATGCAGAAATTATACCTGCACAAGAATGCAATGAACAACCACCTACAGAAAATACCCCAGTCAGTGTGCCTCAACGCAAGAGGTCACACAGCGATCCTGTCATTCATGATGTTCCTTCTAAAGGTAATGTCTTATCTGTGAGTTTCTTTTATAATGTTGATGTGCAATATAATACAACCAAATCTAAACACCATAGTGAGCCTAATCATTACTTGCACATATGATATTAACAGCAAAAGCATGCCTATTTCAAGCACTGGAGGGATGATGATTGCCATAATTTAATATTTGTACAGCAGTCTAACAGAGTTGTCAAAAACTCCTCAGTTTAGCTTAGCTTTCCCTCAGTATGGGCTGGTGGCAGGACATAGGTGAATGACTGAAATACATAGGCATTTGCTCTAGGTCTCTCCCCAGATGCCCAGAGTCTGCAATGCCCAGTATTGCTGTTCAGTAGGTAGTCTCTACAGAGCTGAGAGTGGTGCCTTATGTGGGTCTGTATTATCCCTCATAGTAGCAATCTTTGATAAATTAAGGCTCCGCATCAGAACCCTTCATCAGAGTGGATCAGCTTGAAGAGGAGTTTCCCCCTAGTTTTTTTTTTCATCATTGAGTTGTTCATATAATTAAACCTGGAAGGGCTTCCTCTCTTCTGCTTTGGGCACTGTTTTGATGAAGAGGTATGATAGGATACAGAGGCAGTGAGGGTGAAGTATGCCTACGGCTTGTATAGATATATTGTATGGTTATGCATATGTATGTGTATATCAATCATCATATACAGTGGGGATCGAAGGTTTGGGCACCCCAGCTAAAAATTTGTATTAATGTGCATAAAGAAGCCAAGGAAAGATGGAAAAATCTCCAAAAGGCATCAAATTACAGATTAGACATTCTTATATGTCAACAAAAGTTAGATTTTATTTCATCATTTACACTTTCAAAATAACAGAAAACAAAAATATGGCGTCTGCAAAAGTTTGGGCACCCTGCAGAATTTATAGCATGCACTGCCCCCTTTGCCAAGCTGAGACCTGCCAGTGTCATGGATTGTTCTCAATCATCGTCTGGGAAGACCAGGTGATGTCAATCTCAAAGGTTTTAAATGCCCAGACTCATCTGACCTTGCCCCAACAATCAGCACCATGGGTTCTTCTAAGCAGTTGTCTAGAAAACTGAAACTGAAAATAGTTTCGCTCACAAAGCTGGAGAAGGCTATAAGAAGATAGCAAAGCGTTTTCAGATGTCAATATCCTCTGTTTGGAATGTAATTAAGAAATGGCAGTCATCAGGAACAGTGGAAGTTAAAGCAAGATCTGGAAGACCAAGAAAAATATCAGACAGAACAGCTCGCAGGATTGTGAGAAAAACAATTCAAAACCCACGTTTGACTGCACGATCCCTCCAGAAAGATCTGGCAGACACTGGGTTGTGGTACACTATTCCACTATAAAGAGATACTTGTACAAATATGGTCTTCATGGAAGAGTCATCAGAAGAAAACCTCTTCTACGTCCTCACCACAAAAATCATAGTTTGAACTTTGCAAATGAACATATAGACAAGCCTGATGCATTTTGGAAACAAGTTCTGTGGACCGATGAGGTTAAAATTTAACTTTTTGGCCGGAATGAGCAAAGGTACGTTTGGAGAAGAAGGGGCACAGAATTTAATGAAAAGAACCTCTGTCCAACTGTTAAGCATGGGGTTGGATCAATCATGCTTTGGGGTTGTGTTGCAGCCAGTGGCACAGGGAACATCTCACGAGTAGAAGGAAAAATGGATTCAATAAAATTTCAGCAAATTTTGGATGGTAACTTGATGCCATCTGCGAAAAAAGCTGAAGTTAAAGAGAGGATGGCTTCTACAAATGGATAATGATCCTAAACACACCTCGAAATCCACGGGGGATTACATCAAGAGGCGTAAGCTGAAGGTTTTGCCATGGCCTTCACAATCTCCTGACCTCAACATAATTGAAAATCTATGGATATACCTTAAAAGAGCAGTGCGTGACAGACAGCCCAGAAATCTCAAAGAACTGGAAGACTTTTGTAAGGAAGAATGGGCAAAGATACCTCAAACAAGAATTGAAAGACTCTTGGCTGGCTACAAAAAGCGTTTACAAGCTGTGATACTTGCCAAAGGGGGCAGTACAAGATATTAACTCTGCAGGGTGCCCAAACTTTTGCAGATGCCCATTTTTTTGTTTTCTGTTATTTTGAAAGTGTAAATGATGGAAATAAAATCTAACTTTTGTTGACATATTATAAGAATGTCTAATCTGTAATTTGATGCCTTTTGGAGATTTTTCCATCTTTCCTTGGCTTCTTTATGCACATTAATACAAATCTTTAGCTGGGGTGCCCAAACTTTCGATCCCCACTGTACTTACCTTACCTTTATACTAACGTGCCCCACTGCCTGTGCTTTGGATCTTAATTGACACATCTTGCCTGCCTGAATCTTTAGCATCCAATACTTCTGGGTGTGTTGCATGCCTGTACTCCCCACGCTGGGTGCTGTGGCATTTTCATTGGCAGCCATGTCACTGGATCATCCCAGATATAGTGTCAGATGCTAAAGATTCCATTGGCAGCTGTAACTGTGCAAAAGAAGTAAGATAAAAGGGATGAGTGTCAGGATTTTTTTTTACATCGGCAGTATGAAACAAATGTAACAAAACCAATGTAATCAAGTAAGTTGTTTGTACACTAAAGATAAAAAATTAAAAGCAATTTAAAGATTGGTGAAAAAATATTTAATACTAGAAGGGAAGAAAGGGGCTATTAGAGGCTAATTGTGGGTTAATTAGGGGTTATCCAAGAGGGAATCTCACTCTAAGTTTTCTGTAAAGTACAGGATAATAGACCTTATAACACCTTGAAGGGTTTTCTTACATTCTCAAGAAGATTGAGAAGCTGTTCGTAGGCTACTTCCTGACTACTGAATGATGTGCATGAATTTTAGTGATTCTGGAAGGTACATCACCTGACAGAGCTAGAAGTGCTAAAAACGTTCAACATCCATTGGGGGGGGGGGGGGGTCTGTGAGGTGCTTTCTTGTGGAGTCAGCAGTAAGAATTCTAATGTACTTGGCAGTTGTGATTTCTCTTTGCTGCTAGCAGTGCCTTCACACCATAGTTTAAATGTTTCTCTAACACCCTATACAGCATTTATAAGCAAAGATGCTTCATATAAAGTGATTTAAGATGATAGTATAGGAATTATACTAACATGTTTCTGTGTGTCCTCTCTAGGAGCAACTCCAAGCTGTGAAGCTGCTACACAAACAGAACTAAGACCACCAATGGCAGCTGCCACATTAAGACGGGCTTTAAGAGCAAAAGCTATTCGATCACGGCCAAGATCTCTAGTGGATTACAAATCTTACATTGACACTAAACTTTTGGTGGCCAGGTTCCTAGAGGAGCCATCTGGTCATATGTCTGCTGATATTCGGGACCTAGTAGAAAGCATCAAAACTGTACTGAAGTCTGATGAAGAACACATGGATGAAGCCATTTTAAGTGCCAACATCCTTGATCAGGTTGGTCACTATATTAGAAAGATAAGAAACATAAAAATACATATCATATTCTCAATACCACAATGTATCACAAGAAAATCTAGTATAGATAGTGTTGTCACAGAAAATGTGTTTCATAATGACAGCTACTATTCAAAGATGAATGATTTGGCATAAGAAGACTTGTAATTAACAAACAACGAGTCATGTGGAAATGATGGGTTAATTGGAAATTGATTTATTGAATAAAACAGACAGAAGTTGATGTTCGAATAAGCAGTTTTCTTTTGTCAAAGAAGATAGAAGGTTTGAGTACAGTGCAACACAGTGACAATAGCAACTCCTTGTGGAGGGAACAGTAGATCTGTGCTATAACCCTCCAGAAACCATCATTTAACATGCTAAATGCTGTCATTTCCAAGCTTATGCCTCTAATCCTGTATATTCCTTAGCTTGAGTCTGTCAGGATAGGAAAATATGGAAAGCTCTATTCTTATTCATGAAAGGTTCTCTTTAAATGTGACTAAACACTACAAAGTGGCCATCCTCTTCTGTTTAGAGATTAGCTTACAGCAACTCTATCCACGTTTAGAGAGAGCTAAGCTAATGATCACTGCACTAGACCCAGGCTTGCAGATTGTGGCATATCACAAATGGTTAAAAAAAAGTTCTTATGTTTTTAACAATTGGGTAAAATCCCTGTGGTAGTAGAAGTCAGCTGACTGGCAGCTATTGGTGTAAAAGGTGGCACTTCTATTCCATCATTTACAATTTTTATATAATTGTATAGACTGTAATTTGTGTTAACTTTTGTCAAGGTGATGTCACCAAACCAGGGATCCATAACAAGAACTCGCAACGTCCCAAGCAGACGGTATCCAGGAATACTTCACTTGAATAGCTGCGGGGACATAAGCACTTTTAGTACTGTACAGAGGCAGAGGGATGATGAGAACAAGGAGCCAGAGGACTGCTAGACCTCACAGTCTCATTGGAGTTGTTCGGGAAACCATTTTATGAGAAAGAAAACATGACAACCAAACCGAGAATGGACAAGTGAATGTATGTAGCCTCCAATTACAGGGCAGACCACTGTTCTGTGAGCTCACACATTTATGCAATACTCGTAAGTAGCTCGTGTTTACAGAATGAGTAAGCTTTACAACGTAGTGGCAGAATATGCCTCCTTCCATCGCCAAAGATCAATCAGCATATGGATAATTCTGAACTGAGCTTTATATTGATGGAACTGATTTATGTGGTTGTGAGGGAATGAACTACAAAATCAGGAAAATGAAAGTCTAATATAATGTGTGTGTACCTGGTAGAACTCTGTGGAAGAGGAGCCTCAGGGGTTTGCAAAACTGTGAGATATCTTGCACTATAAGTACAAGTCTGCAGTCTTCAGCAGACATTGCAATTTGATTGATAACGGGCACTGTTCATTTAATAAACTGATGTATTTTAAACTCATGGAGTGGTAGTAAACTATGACTGTGTGCATTTCTTTTTGTGTTACTTAATAATAAAAAATATAGCTTTTTAACATGTATCATTAGAGTGGATCAGAGTGTTAACATCCTATAATCATTTGACTGAAGGGCAGGCAGCAGATATGGTCATCAACCATAACCTTATGAAGGCGAGAGGGGACATAGTACACCTAACCAGAAACGTAGGACCCACAGTTTAGGGAGAGCTTGTAGTAATAGTCAAATGACCTGCTGAAGGAGAAAAACTCAGGTTCCAAAGCAATGGTGCCCAACCTGCTATTTGGGGGCTCTTATTGGAGGGAATTCAGTAACTATGTTACAACAAACTTTTGGTGGTATGGCTTCTTGCATATAATTCAGGAAAGTCTTAGGACAGTTTTGCAAAGCTGTTAGTCAGTCATAGCAACCATTGACTCATCCTTAGCCCCATTTAACTGCCCACCAGGAGATTCTCAGGCTGACAGCTGAAGGTAAATATTTGGACAGTAATGTCAGCAACATCCCCACTGATGCTGTACAATAAAAATGGCATCCTCTCCTAACCTTTCCCCCTCCCAGCAAGCAGTGGAAATGAGTGTTCTAGCACCAGGCTCTAGGACATGGGATGATGTCACCAGCATTGTTCACTATCAGCTGTCAACTGGGGAATCTCTCATCTGGCAGCTAAATGGATGGGTCATCTATTGTTATGATGATGTTGGCTGCACAGCCCACAGATTCGAAGTAGCAAGAGGCTGAACACGTACTAAGGACAGAGTGCCTGTGGTATGGATACTCCATCCTCAGTGCTGCACCCCTCCATTCAGCAAATTTATGTACCTATTCCTGACAAGCGACACAAGTAAAGAGGAAGCACTGAAGGGGATGTAATAGCATTGATCTCTAGCAGTTTGATGAAATTTGCCTTCATTCTATGAAACCTCACTATAAAATCATCCTGGTATTTAACAATGCCCTTTTAAGACCACCAGTGCAATTTGGCTACACCCACCATTTGATGTGGCCACCTTGGCGCTGCGCCCAGGTAGCCCATAGAAGTGTATGCCGATGCAGGGGTGAATAGACATAGTCACATATCAAAATTTTGCATGTGAATGTGTCTGTGCAGCCACTGCATCTGTATACAGGGTCAGCACAGAGGATGGGTGTCAGCACCCTAAATTTAAATCCAGGAGAGTGATCTAGGAAAATTTCTCTCTATCTGTACTCTGCTGTCTCTCTCCCTCCCATAGACACATGTAAATTAGTTCATTTCTGATGTAATACAGACTTATAGGGACATACTTCTATTTTCAATACTACAGCTCTGTTCCATGTTATGTGATCACTTAGCTCCTTCTCAATGTCAGGGTAGGAGCCGAGGAACGGACAGGCAGGCCTAAACAATGTAACGCACTGGCTGGCGACAACCACCACCCACAGACCGAAGTCCTCCAGGGCACGGAGTCTAAGTCCCAGGCTGCCCTTCACCGGGGCCCCTGATGGCGGGGATGGACTTGACGCAGCCAGGAACCAGGCCGTGGCCCCCGAGACACCTCAGTTGCGGTAATGGCCACCGCCAATGGCGTGTAGCTGGTGGAAAAGACAATAGAGTAGTCGGGCAGGCCGGGTCGACAACAAGGGAACAAAATGGTACAAGACAGTAGACGAGAATCACGGGTCATGGGCCGAGTTCAGCAACGGAAGGTCAGATCAAAGGAGAACACAAAGAATGGTCAGGTCACAAGCCTAGTCAGATTCTAGGAGATTCACGAGAGTCAGAACAGAGTTATAGCGACACAAAGACACAAGTGCAAAGGGCATGTGCGGACCACAGGCTTATATGTAATCAGCCACACCCCTCTGGACCAGAAGGCATAAAAGATTCCCACCATGCTCTGCAGAAATCCAACATGGATGCCAGCACATGGAGAAACATAACCTCTGGGAAAAGGTAGGACCTTGACACTCCTGCTCCAGCGTGCACAATGTCAAATGAAACATCTGTGAAGGGAGCAGAGGTACAAAACAATCAGCAGAGGAGAACACTGGCTATGTATTGAGAGAGAATGGTGCCCACTGAAAATGACTGCAGAATGCACGTAACTACAGAGGTGAGCGGAAAATATATAATGGAGCAAAGCTGTAGTAGATAGAGCTGTGGGTGGGGCTGATGCACTTGAGCTGTGGGCTGGTTTTATAAAGCATTGCAGCACTGGGGAGAACTAAGGTAGTAGAGAGGTGGGGGTGGGAGAAATCTCCTGGAGGAGGAGGGCAGTAGCATGGTGTGTTTCAAGAAGGTCAGCTGCTGAAGAACTTCCTCACTCTACTAGCTGCTCTGGCTTCCTACAGGAAGACATGAAGAAGTTTTCTATAGAAGAAAGCAGAGGCTGAGGTGATGCCTGCTCCATACATAGTGACAGCTTTTTCTTTTCTACAACACAGGTACATTAATGGTAAATTGGTACATAGAAAAGCTGTACATTACCAAAAAAAAAAAGTGAATTTTGCCTTTAATGGAATTTTTTTCCTAGAACAAACGCACTATGTGTTCTTTATTTGCTCGGTTTAATTAAATGATCTTTTCACTTTTTTTTTTTCTTGGTTGTCTGTGTTGCTGTGTCCATCTCTCCTCCGGATCTATAAAAATATTGGTTGCAGTGGGTGATCAGTGCACACCTTTCCCTTATGTGCCCATAAAATAGATTGCTGGAATTAATGTTTCCCTGCACAGTATTCTGTGAAGACATAATGCCTGAAAATGGAGGAATACATCTGTTTATTATAGTAATTGTCAGATACAATTACAGTATAAGAATATTGCTTTAAACATTTTTAAAATGTACAGTTCTATTATTTTTACATTTTTGTCTATATGTCAGCCTATAATAAGAAACACAACAGGCTGTTTTTTTTAATTAAAATACTGATTAAAAGCCAAGCATATCCTTAAAAATTGTTATAGCCAAGTTAGTTTACACTGCTAAATTTAGCATTGACATATAGGATTCAATGATCCCTGGGTACAAAGTGGTTGGAGTAGAGAACAAAAAACAAAGCGCACCAACCTTGCACATTACCTAAGTAAACAATTCGTAAATTTATTGATAAATTATACTCACAAGAGTAGCAGTAAAAAAAGGAGAAAGGGGGCTACATGGAGCCGTGAGTTCTCTCCTCTTCGTGTCCCAGATCGCACAAATGGCATTGATACTGAGTGCGCAGGTGCAGGTTCTGACTACTTTCCTGCAGTGTGCCATCACCCAAATGGCCGCTGGAGCGCACGGCGCATGTGCACTAGTGTTCTAGATGCCGGCATGCATTCCATTGCCACCTGCAGGCTCTCTGCAGTATTAATTCCCCTTTTCACCACCAGTTTTGCAAAACTGACATACACATTGGTACTTAGTGTTTGAATGCCTCCCGAAAATAACAAATGATTAGAGAATTTTGAAATAGTGAGGCTGCTAGTTATCACTGGAGCACTGAAAACAGATTAGCTTGTACACGTTTCCAACATAGATCATTGTTGCAAGTGATCTAGGTTCTCTTTGCAGACTCTTAAGGTAAAACTCCAGTTTGGGCTTTTTGTCACTTTTTGTCCTTTTCATTAGTTTCTATGTTTAATATGGACTGAGATATCCTATCTTGCTTTGATTTAATTTCCCCACATAGCATTTTAACTTTTAATCAATGATGCTTTTAATCTATTTACAATGTATCATTTATGCAAAAAATTGCATCATCTTTTTGCTTTTATCCATTTTTATTTGTGATCTAATTGTGATTTTATCTATGCTTTGTATGTTAATAATTGTTGTGACACGTTTGGCCCTACCTCCCTTAATGAGGCCGTCCTTGTGACGATCCCAGGATCACTGCCACCAATATGTGACGATCCCATGATCGCTGCCACCAATATTTGACGACCGTGGGCGTCAGACCCCAGCCCTTCTCACCATACTCGTGACCGAAGGACTAGCCAATCTAAAACCGCGATGTCACGTGTGTAACAATGCCACACCCAGCTGCACCCTGCACAACGATTTTCCAGCTAATTGGACCACAATCTATGTACCGGCAGCCTGAGCGATTGTTAGGTTAATTACGCAATTAATCCTTCACACTGCTACCACCTCCTTTTTGTACAGAGAAAGAGGAAACTCTGCGATATCAGCTATAACACTATAATGGTTGAGATAATCGTCTGTATAACACGGTCACCGCAGGCTGGTTATACAGAGGGTTAAACACAGTAGCGCTCTTTTAGAGGCAGGAATTCGTAAATTGCAATTAAGAGCTATAGAAACAGTTCAACACTTTCAGAAGGAAAGATTTATTACTGAAAGGTCAAAAAGGGTGTCATAAAAATATTTACAGGAAAAGATGTAACCAATATATATATAAATATACAGAGAACAGAACAGCAAAGAGGTAACAGAAGGAGGTTAAAGGGTTAAAGTACTTGCCAATCAGCCTTGGGTTTGCAGATCAAGTTTCAGAGCGAAAGGGTACAGGTCTCCCCAGGTGGTTCTGATGTTAATCGGG